AAAAAGACCCTTGCAGACCATATCTCCTTTCCTCCTCCCTGGTCCAATAGGGTTGATGTGAGCTCCCTGTTATAGGGTGCAGGCAGTCCAGAGTGGTCAGCAGGGAGTTTTCTGCTCAGGCCTATCAAGGGAAGCTCCCCACTTTCCTCTCACCAGCCCTTGACCTGCGCCTAAGGGCTGTGATATCTCTGGGGCTGGCCACGTGTCCCAGGGGTCAGTAGAGCAGCTTCCCAAGGGGGGCCTTTCTCCACATCTCCATGCCCTTTATGTCTCTGTGACAAGACAGACATCAATCATGGGAAATTTCTATACATTTGATGGTTCAGAGGCAACCTCAGACTCAAAATAGTTTCATCCCCAGCACCAGAAGAGACTTCTGGCAGGCTGGACGCAGAAAACCAGAGGCTTGGAAGAGGCAACAGACTTACAGCATCTGCGGATTGCTTGTAGGCACAGTCCTGCCAGGTCTTGCCACTTTGAACAGGACAATCACCCTCCTTGATTTGGTACTTGAAGGAATAATACTGGGTCAGGCCCTCCTGAAAAAAAGGCAACCCAAAATACATAAGGTTCATCGTACTAATGCACAGCGAATCATTTGAATGTGGTCTGGTCTGGTTATACATATTTGATATTGGCTTGATTCAGTTAGGGCCAAACATGTATTAAAAATGTCAGAAGTTACAAATATTTATTTAGCCAAATGTTCATAATGTGTAGACATGCATGTATTATATTTATGTTTTGTATTATATTAATATTATGGTCAATTTGTTCATTCAACAAATTGAGCAATTATTTGCCCAGTACTGAGGATATAGCAATTAGCAAGTTTCTTCTATGAATAGATGTATATACTTATATTTTTGTATATTTCATCTGTGACTGTATATATATTTAAGTTACAAGGTAGTATCTGTAGCATTAGGCCATATTTGAGGAAATCAATTTATATGTCAATATATGATTTTTAAATGTCTGAAAAGTTGTGCAACAAAGAGGTTAAAATGTCTCTCAGTGGTAGGAACACAACTGTCTTTCACTTTCTTCTTTAAACAAACTTTCCTGAATGGTGAAGCTGTTTTTTTTTTTAAAACAAAAATGTATTAGCTTTATAATTAGATAAAAAATTAAAGCGTGATTTTTCACTTTTGAGAAAAATGATAACAGTTGTTTCTGGACAGTAGGATGAATTACAGGTGACTTTAGTATGTCTATTTGTTCACAGTTCATATCTGGATAATGTCATAATAGTAAATAAGATTGTAAAGCTCAAGGCAGTGAATTAGATGAGCTTTTCCATGCAAAACCCTGGCCTGAGGGACTGTGAGGTGGTGTTGTCCAGCCCCCACTTTGCAGATGAGACCAGGAGGCTTCATTTCAGGGAGGAGGACATAACAGCCCGGCCACTTGGAGAGGCAGAGGCCGAGGGTCCCCACCCTGACCCGGGGTGGGGGTGGGGAGTTCTCTCTCAGAGGCTGCTGGGCCCCTGGAGGGAATGGAGTCCTGGGGTCCTCTCTGGGCCAGTTCCAGGCCTCAGCTTTAATAAAACAGTAGGTGGTAGCAGTGGGGCTGTGGCCACATGGGAAAGGAGAGCTCAGCAGTGACTCTACAGACATCTCAGAATGAAGGTTGACATCAGCCATGAAGTCAGGCAAGGAAGACGCCGCCAACTGTTGGACAGACCGGAAGCAGAACTGATACCTGATGACTCTAGATTGTGGAACCAGTGGCTCCATTTCACTTTCAGAAAAACTGTCCACCTGGGCTTTTGTCTTAATCCTCCTGTCAAATGGCTGATTTTTTTCCCACCAAAGTAAACAAGTGAACAGCTCTCACATTGAAATTCGTTAAAAAAAATTATTGAGAGATTTATATTTCTAATATGAAATATCTTGTCAGAATTTGTCACCAACCTGCATATGTCATTCAGTGATTTTAAAAAAAACATTAAAAACCATCTATAATGTGGCTGTTACCCTTGGTAGTTTCAGGCAAATGAACTTCAGCATATTTTGTTTAGTGGTGCGGAACCATGTTAATCTCATTTTGGACTTAGCCTAGATCTAACTCCCTCACCCTCACAGCTTTATCAAGGTATAACTGACACATAAAAATTATATATATTTAAGACTTTAAACATAATTTGATATATGCATACACTTTGTAGTGATTACTATGCACAAGCTAATTAACGCATCCATTGCTTTTTTACAATGAAAACATTGAAGATCACTGAGCAGAGTTAAAATATAAAATACAGAGTTATACCTGAGTTTTCATACTATGCAATAGCTCCTAGAATTTACTCAACTCACAACTGAAATTTGACATCCTTTGACCAAAACTCTCCACTTCTACTCCCCAGCCTCTACAAACACCATTCCACATTCTGCTTCTGTGAGTTTGACTTTTTCAGATTCTGCTCTAAACAAATCCTCCAGTATTTGTAGATGATCCCTTCAATAACCTCTTTTCACCTGAGGTCTGGAGGTTTTTATAGTTTCCGTCTTGGACTTATTACCGGCAAGTCCTCTCAGGCAAATCTCTTTCAAATGCCTGCATCTACCTTTGTTCCACTTCACCCAGGATTCTGCTTCTCTTATCACTTTCAGAGGCAGCTCTGGTGGCCCAAGGACTAATCATACCCTGCCCCTCACCTCCACTCAGAGGGCGGTGGTCCCATCTAAGAGTTGTAACAGACTACATTGGTTATCAGTTCTCTGTAGATTGGTGGAGGGTTAGGGGTGGGTTGGGGTGGGGGAGAGGAGAGTGGTGCAGATGGGGAGGTGGGGGGCAGAGAGAGAAGGGAGTGGTGGGAAGGGAGGGGGAATCCCTGGGATCCAAGTTTCAAGCTGTCATACTCACCAACGTGGTGACATTAATTACACGGTACAATACAAACTGGTTGCCAGTTTCTTTTTTATCATTATATTTCTTCAGAGCAGCATCCACAGCCTTAAATATATCCTCATCATTGCAGTCAATTTCCTGTGAGAAGGACTCCTGGCTTGATAGCAGCCTGAAGCAGAGGAAAAGGATGGTAATTAATCTCATGATTTGACCGTCTCCTGCTAGCCGCTGAGAGATTTTTCCCCCAACAATTGGGAGCCAATTTAGATGCTGATTTTAAGTCTCCAGCCTCTTATTTCCTCTGCTTCAGCACTCTGGGGCCCTGGTTGGCTCCCTGCTCTCTCACACAGTTTGCCCTATTCCATTAGGACAAATGACTCTGCTGGGCTCTCCAAGCATTACAACACTGGGGTTGGTGACCTGCTTGTTTGCATTTGGGAAGCCTGTGGGAGCATTGCCCACATTTCCAGGTAATTACATAAATTTATCTAATAGAGGAGTAAGAAAAAACCCTAATTGCCTCTACTATCCCCAGGAACTACATACATATGGCAACACAGACTACAGTGTGCAGACAACTTTCAATATCACAGCAGTGCTATTTACAATAGCCTAGATATGGAAAACAACTCTGGTGTCCAGAAATAGACAAGAAGATCAAGAAGATGTGGTATGTACACAATATTACTCAGTGATCAGATAAAGCCAAACTTAAAAACTGAGAGTTGACTAGAAGTGAGGAATCTGGGGGAGAGGGAGAAAATAGGGCGGGGAGGAGGCAAAATGGACTATGGTGGGGTGGACTATGGGTAGTTTGCAGGTGCGAGCACTATAGTAATTACGTCTGAAGGGGGCAATAGTACAATTCCCCAAATGTAAACAATGATGAAAACCAACAAGCCCTCAATTAAAAAAAATTCTTATCACCCTGCAGAGGTGCTGGGTGCCAGCAATCACATTGCAAGGACAGGGACACAGTGAGTGCCAGGCAGTCCACACCATGCCAGTGGTGCGACTGAAAGTAAAATATGAGTGTCCTGTCTGTCCTCTGTCCAAACCATCTTCTCTCTACTCATTAGTTCTGGAAAGGAAAATGCTCCCCAGGTGGGGAAGACAGAGGAGAAACAGAAAGATAGGTTAAGTAAATCTCTATCCTTGCATGTTGTTTCTAGTTTGGTGGATGTGTGTGCTTTTCACTCACTGGGCCTAAGCAAACTTTTGGATTATACTAGACCATTAGGAGAGAGTGTGTGTAAGGTTGGCTAAAGACATGGGCTAAGCCTCAGTAAATGTCCTCAAGTCTAACTGTTACAGGGTAGCCCAAAGTGAACTGGGCTGCCTGTCTGCAGGCCCTCACCCGCAAGCTTAAAATTTAATTGTTCTGCAGGCACACACAAAAGGGTAATGGATTCATTTACAAAAAGGGGAAAGGAAAAGAAACAACCCAGGAAAAGAGCGAGAGATACAAGGTAACTAGAATATCTTACCAGCTCAGCTGACTTGGAGCTCTGGTAACAAAACTAACTGCTAGCCCCCAGCCACACAGTCTGAGTAGAGCCAGTTACCCCAGAGAGAGAGAGAGCCGTTACCTCTCAGAGCAACCATTGGAAAACTGCTCTCTATTTATCCCCCAAAGTCCCAGAATAGCGTAGCTCTGCCCTTGTGTTCTCACAGTTCTCTCCTGGTACTGCTGGGAGTTGTAGTTTTCCAATCACTGGAGTAGGGGGTAGAATCCAGAAAATTGGAGTAGGGGCTGGAGTCCACCAAACTCTGCAGAGTGTCTAGGACATCCTTCCCCCGTTACTTTACTTACTCCCCACAGTTTCCAAGAAAAGGTATTTGGCGTATTTATTGTTGTTTATGGAGTCTCTAGCTTGATCATTCAGTCTCCTTGAGAGTTCCTGAAGAAAAGTCAAGGTGAGTTGAACAGTGGCCTTGTAACAGAGTGGCAGGAACATGAACTTAGCAGTAATTACAAACTTGATTCCAATCAAGCTCTTCAACTTAATTGCTAACTGTTCTTAAACAAGTCAAAGTCATATAGCCTTCCTAAGCTCACTTTTTTCATTTGTAAAATCTTAATATCTTGGGCTCTCTCTAATGCACAAGTTAAAGCACAGCACTATGAAGCGCTCTGAAGCTACCGCAGCCGAGTTTGATCCCTGGCCAGGGAGGTGACCCACATGGCACAGCACACCACTCCTGACCTGCCCACAGCAGTGTATTTCAGACGATCTGCCTGTTCTGCTCTCAGGTCTGTCTCTGGTGAATCTTCTTGTTATAGGGAAGCCCAAAGTGGACTGGGCCGCCTGTCAGTGGGGCCTCACCTGCGTGCTCACAACTCAGGGTCAATAACGGGTTTACTTACAAAAGGGGAAAGGAATAGGAAACAACCCAGGGGAAGAGAGCAGGATACAAAGTCACTGGAATACCTTATGGCTAGGCTGACTGAACACATCGAGTCACGCGGTCCGGAGAGCTGTTTCCCAAGTGAGAGAGAGCGAGCCAGCATGAGATGCAATTGCGCCCTATTTATCCCCCCAAATGCCCCAGAATTCCTTCCTGTTAGCTCCACCCTTGGGTCCTCGCAGTTCTCTCCCTGGTACTGCTGGGAGTTGTAGTTTCCAGTCACTGGAGTAGGGGATAGTGTCCAGAAAGCTGGAATAGGGGGTGGAGTCCATAAGACTCTGCAGATTTCCTTTCGGACATCCTTCCCCTTAACATTCTCACCCCACACACCCCTGGCCTGTACCCTCGTTCTTGTATGCACAAATAAATGAATCTTTTAAAAAATCTTAATATTAGAGATAATATATGTGCAGGGTCTAGTAATTAGCTCTATAATCATACCTAATAATAGAATGGGTGGTTAAGAATCCTGACTGAAGCAAACAGTTTCAAATGTACAGTGATGACAGAGGTAGATTCCAGTGTGTTTGGGGGCAGGTGTAGGAAAATAAGCTGAGGATGAAAGAGACTTGGGTGATTTCTTACTCTGGGCATGAGGGACCTACAAAGAAAAGAAAAGAAATGTATTGCCAGCACTTAAGGAGAAGATGAAGCCCCAAGCCTAGGGTCTAGTAGTCAGTAAATAGTGGTGCTGGGATTAGAACCCCAAACAGAATGTAAGCCAAAGTCACATTCATTCCTGTTTATTATAGTACTTGAAACACTGCATGTGCTGTTTCTGAGTCTTCATTGGAAGCACTCAGCATGACTGGCCTCTCATTCCTCTCCACACCCTCCCGGACAGTCCACCATCTGTGGTCACTTTATTCTCCCAGTCGTAGTTTCACCATCTTTGTAGGCTCCTCCTTACAATCTAAGAACAACCCTAAGGTCTTTCACCCTTTGTTTTTCCTCCTTCGCTGCCCAGTTAAAACCTATCTGCCATCATTTTGTGTCTGAAATGACTAAGTTAGGTAGAAAGAACTTGAATTCTCATTAACCTGCTTGAACCCTGATTAGGGAGAAGGGGAAAATGGAGTTCTCTTGCATTGAAAATGAATCAGAGATTCAAGTGCCTCTAACCTTGGGAGAAGGTGTGAAAATGGATAGGTGTTTAAGGAGTGGACTCCTTCACCCTACTTTCTGGTCATGTAGCCTGGAGTGTAGCAGGATCCCAGGAAACAATAGCCACAAGCCAGTCATTTCCATTAGCAGGCTTCCAGAGTCTTCCATATCCCCAGTTTGATAATGATAAACTAGACCAAATGAGAGATGAGAATAGGGCAGTTACCCTCTTTAAGCCGGGGTCCTGATGGGCCAGTGATAAGAGCCAGACCTCCTCCTGTGCTTGACACCCAAATACCTTAGCACCATGTGAGATTCTCGAAGTTTGGTACAGCTTTGTGTGGGGAGTAGCATGATGAAGCAAGCCCAAGACGGACAGATTAAACTTCATTAGCCCAGCAGCTTTAAATAGAAATGGAAATTAACTTGTTTTGAAAAACAAAAGAAATAAAGTGGTATTTCTTATGCACTTGAATTTATAGTCATGGTTCATGCCTACAAACATCTTTGAACCTGAACTTTGTTTGCTTGTAGTTGAATTTAGATCCTTTTTTTTTCCAACAAGAAATTTAGAGGACTAGAAATAACAAGCATGAGAAATTTTAGGTCACTCTTTTAAAAGTATATTTTAAGAAAACATGATAATACATTCTACCTTGGTATATCCAACTACATTTCAGCACTTATAGTGGAAATGTTAAGGGGAAGGACTTATAGTGGAAATGTTAAGGGGAAGGATGACCTAAAGGAACTCTGCAGAGTTTGGTGGACTCCAGCCCCTACTCCAATTTTCTGGATTCTACCCCCTACTCCAGTGATTGGAAAACTACAACTCCCAGCAGTACCAGGAGAGAACTGTGAGAACACAAGGGCAGAGCTAAGCTATTCTGGGACTTTGGGGGATAAATAGAGAGTGGTTTTCCAATGGTTGCTCTGAGAGGTAACGGCTCTCTCTCTCTCTGGGGTAACTGGCTCTACTCAGACTGTGTGGCTGGGGCTAGCAGTTAGTTTTGTTACCAGAGCTCCCAGTCAGCTGAGCTGGTAAGATATTCTAGTTACCTTGTATCTCTCGCTCTCTTTCCTGTGTTGTTCCTTTTCCTTTCCCCTTTTTGTAAGTAAACCCATTATCCTTTTGTGTGTATCTGCAGAAAATTAAATTTAAGCACACGGGTGAAGACCCACAGACAGGCAGACCAGTTGCACTCTGGGCTACCATGTAACAGAAAAATGCTGGAGTTAAAGAAATCCAGGGAAGAAATTCTGAGGATCAGAGATTTGTGAGTGACAGAATTAACTTATTTGTGGCACTAAGATCTTTCCTTTCTTCCTCACTTTTGCCCTCTGAGTATGACAGTAAAGTTAAAATGGTTTGCAATTTTGCATTTATTACTGAACACATCTTATTCATTGTTTAATTAAGAACTTTTTTTATCTTTCCCATCAAGAAAATCAGCCTTTTTTGGGAAATGTGTTTGCAAAAAACTTGGAGACTTGCAGGAACTCACTCTTGGATTTCCCTGGACATGATTCAGAGGCTGATTGAGGAAAAGGTTGGATCTCTGGCTTTCGGGAGTTGTGGTTTGGCATTGAGAAGGTGGGAAAATTAGCTTCAGGTAAAGGAAGAACTTCATCATTTTTCAGTGGAGGGAGCTGGTAAACATATCCAATTTGTTTCCTTTCAAAGGGATAGTGTGCTTTATCTGTACTTCTTTCTTCTGGGTGTCTAGGTAGTGGGGGCCCGCCTGGGTCACGGTGACCTGGGATCTGGGGTGGTGGGTAATTATCTGGACTTCTTTCTTCTGGGTGTCTAGGTAGTGGGGGCCCGCCTGGGTCACGGTGACCTGGGATCTGGGGTGGTGGGTAATTATCTGGACTTCTTTCTTCTGGGTGTCTAGGTAGTGGGGGCCCGCCTGGGTCACGGTGACCTGGGATCTGAGGTGGTGGGTCACAGGGTCCAAGATCATGGAAATCATGTCCATGGGGACGGTGGTGGGGACGGCGTCCATGGTGATGACGTCCATGGTGACTGTGTCGATGGGCACCATGCCCATGGTCACCGTGCCCATGGGTACCGTGCCCATGGGTACTGTGCCCATGGTGACCATGTCCATGGGTACTGTGCCCATGGTGACCATGTCCATGGTGACCTTGTCCATGGTGACCTTGTCCATGGTGACCTTGTCCATGGGGATGGTGTTCACTGGAACTGTCATTACGAACATGTCCATGGGTTCCATCAGTGCTAAAATGGGTGTGATGACATCTTGACCCTGAAGGAAGATCTCCTTCCTGAAACCGTGGTCTGCCTGAATCACTTTTGTCTTCTTCAGAAGATGGGCATTTAGGTTTATGTAATTTGTGGGAATGATGGTGATCTCTGGATCCATTGACCTTAAATGGAGGCTGGCCTGGAGAAGGATGCTTATGTCCATTAGAGGAGATACGGATCCAAAATGGATATTTGACATTGGTTTTTCTATGTTCCTGGTAAAGGACATAACAAGTGAATATGAACATGTAACACAAAAAAAGAAGTTAGAGCCCTTGTCTTAGACCAACAGTTTACAGACTTTTGGATTCCACAAATGAATTTTTAAAGTAGGATACCAAAAAGGGTTCTTAATTTTTTTTTTAAAGATTTATTTATTTGTGCACACAGAACTGGGGTATGGGCCAGAGGCTCAGGGGTGGCAAGAGGCCTCACCAGAGACAGAGTGGGGAGCAGAACAGGCAGATTGATGAAGTACACTGCTGAGGGGAGCAGGGGGCGGGTCAGGAGAGGTCTGCTACGCCATGTAGTCACCCCTGGGGCAGGCGGGAATTGAACTCATGCTGAAGTGGCTTTAGCCTCTCAGTGCTGTGCTTTAACCCACTGTGCCACCAGGGAGGGCGTAATACTGGGACAACACAGGAGTCAGATGAACACAGTCCTTCAGATGGAGTAAATGCTGCGTCATGAAAAACGCCTTCTTCCCATTTTTCTCATTTCAACAGAAAGTGGTGAAATTATACTGTGAAATGGCACTCATCCATAAACCAACATGTGGGAAACTAGAGCTTTGTAATTTATATTCCTAAGAGTTCTAAAATTTGTGATAGGGCCCTCCCTGGTGGCGCAACAGGTTTGGTGTAGCACTATGAAGCTAGCTGCAGCCACTTTGGCAAGATTTCAATCTCTGGCCAGAGAGGTGACCCACACAGTGCACAGCAGACCTCTCCTGTGTTGCCTGCTGTTCTCCGGAGCAGTGTTTTTTCAGTCACTCTCTCTGTTCTGCTCCCCACTCTGTCTCTGGTGAATCCTTTCACCACTTTTGCACTTCTGGACTGTTCTCCAGTTCTGTCTAAATAAATAAATAAATCTTTAAAAATAAAATAAAAATTGTGACACAAACAGCCCTTACTTCTAAAGGATGGACATTTCACCTTTACACTCCTTTTTTAGATTTTAATTAAAAAAAAAAAATCAGGGCCCTCTCTGGTGGTGCAGCGGGGTAAAGAACAGCACTAAGAAACTAAAGCCACTTCAGCGTGAGTTTGATCCCTGCCCCAGAGGTGATCCACATGGCGTGGCAGATCTCTCCTGACCTGCCCGCTGCTCCCCTCAGCAGTGTACTTCATCAGTCGGCATGTTCTGTGCCCCACTTTGTCTCTGGTGAATCCTCTCACCGCCCCTGCACCTCTGGGCTGTGCCCCAGTTCTATATGCATAAATAAATAAATCTTAAAAAAAAATCAATGGGTTCATGGCATGGGGACAAAGCTGCCCACTGAACACTTTAGCTTCTTTTTCCTGATTTAAAAATTACTGTGAAGAGTATTTTCATATAAAATAAAGCTTTTGGGAGAGATACAAAGTATTGTTTCACATCTTTCCTTATAAAACTTTATGTGATAAATTTGAGATTAATTTATTCCCCTTAGGCACCATACCTACAAAATCATTAAATCTCAGCACTGGATTCCTGATTATGGACACCACTTTCAAATTCATGAATGGCTGATTGAATAAGTGATGATTTTACTTTTATATCACACTTACTCTTCTACAATTCTTGGGAAAATTGTTCATATTTTCTTGTGGCATACTAACAATTGCATTCCTTTCCTCAGGGACCTGTTCTGTCTGTACTTCTCTGCCCACTTCACCATATAATCATCTCTCTCTCTCTCTCTCACACATACACAAAGAGCAATAAGACCAAAACAAACTTAATATGACACTGTTTATGACAAAGCATAGGAACTCACCTCAGGTTGGAACACGTCACAGTTTATGACAATATCTTTTGGGGATTCCAAGTTAGAGGCTCCCTCATTATAGGACAAATCTGCTTTGCAGAATCCAAAAGCCTATAAAGAAGAGAAAAGCCTGTTAGTGTGCATGTGTGTGTTCACATGGTTATAAGCTGGTGCTCAGTAGAGTTGTGAACTTCTGGACATTGGGAAAAGAAGAACTTAGAAAAATCAGAGTGATATTATCAAATATCTCCATTTAAACATCTTTCCTAGTTAAAACTTTTGGGAAAGTATCATTTCCTAAGGCTTCATCATAAGGTGCTGTGGTTCTTGCCCGTGAGTGGACACAGACACTGGCCTTCCTTGTGTGTGGGAGTGGGGTGTACCCTATCACTGATGTCCTTAATTCAGCTCTGCTGCACTGAAGATCTGAGTTGCCTTTAACTAGAGAGAATGAAGACCAGTATAGCAGAGGGATTTGAATAACTTGGAACAGGTGTTTGGAGTGTTAGAAAGGAGGAAGACACTATAAAGAAGGGTTTCTATGAACCCTGTCTGCTGGCTCTATCCTAAGTACAGAAACTATCAGTGATTGACATCCCTGTACACCAGAAGCCCTAAAACACAACTGTCAAACTTAGACTAGGACAAACAGAAAACCTTTTCTAGAAGAACCTATTAAGCATGGAGGGTCTGCATGTTGCTTTGGAGTCACACACCTGTTAATTCTGGTTTTATGTAAGCAGATTACATAAAATTTCTCCAAACTCAGTTTTTGCAAAAGACATGTATAATTCTATCTAGCCACAAATTGTGGGAGAACTTAATCCAATGAGATAATGTTGTATAACGCTGAGCACTCAGCTCATCTTTAGTCAATGTTTTTGCGCTGGACTTGCATTTGTTTGCAGATGGAGGTGGGGGAGGAGGTTTCTTTTCTGGTGGCTACTAAGCAGAATTTTAGAATTATTTCAGGCTAAAAAGTTGAACAAACAGAAGAGGAACTGCTTCTTTTGAACTTTCTTTGGAACTAATGAGTATTTCCGACCTTCCAACTCTGGAAGATATGCTGTTAAAAGTTAGAAAAGTCGGACCCTCCTTGGTGGCGCAGCGGGTTAAAGCCCAGCACAAAGAAGCTTAAACCACTTCTGCATGAGTTCGATTCCCGCCTGCCCCGGAGGTGATCCACATGGCGTGGCAGACCTCTCCTGACACACCCGCTGCTCCCCTCAGCAGTGTACTTCATAGATCTGCCTGTTCTGCTCCCCACTCTGTCT